CCTCAGTTTCTTCATCTGTAAACTGGGAGTCTTGATTCTCTCTACTTCATAGGCTCGTGAGGAGGAACTGAATTAATTTATGTAAATATAGGTAAAGCCCTTAAAACACTGCCAAGCACACAGAAAGGACTACAGGAGCTCAGCGGCCGTTGTTTTGATGATGATGGTGACGGTGATGGAATGACCTGACTCAGGCGCAGAGCTGGAGCGTTATTAGCAAGGGGGTCAGGACACATTAGCCCCAGACTGAGGCTTTCTCCCAGGCTTAAGCAGAGTTTGGAAAGAACCGAAAACAGTAGCTTCCTTTTCTTGTGGTTCAGTGTCATTTGTTTGTCTGTGTACTGTCTACAAGTACTGAGGTACCTCAAAAGTTGTCGGCAGGTACCACACGTGGAATGCCGCCCACACACAGGGAAACAAACTGTTCTGTTGTGGCAGACAAACACAAAGCACAGTGTGCGAGGCGCGCAGAGAAATGAGCGGCAGGCGCGGGTGGAGCGGTGGCGGGAGGCTGTTGGCCAGGTCTATCGGTCTGAGCTGGGCTTGGAAAAGGGCAGACGGTGGGGCTCCCGGGGGTGGAGGGAATAGCCTATTCCAGGGCAGGTGGATAACTTAGCATGGTGTGTTCAGGAAAGGCCAACATTGGTGAAGAAATACCAGCTCACTAACGACAAGAGGCAGCAATGGCTTGTGAAGATCTCTCTGGAGAAGCTGCTGTCAGAGTGGGGTTCTCAGAGCTGCTGCATCAACAAGGCTTGGGAACTTGTCAGAAGCACAAATGATCCGGCTCTCAGACCTACTGACTCAGGCACTCTGGAAGTGGGGCCCTCCCTTCAATTTGGGGCTTGACAAGCACTCCAGGTGGTTCTTATGCATGCTAGAGTTTGAGAACCGCTGGCCTAGAGGACGGTGGGACAGCATTAGCAATAACCGAGCATGAGATTTGCGCACAGTAAGAGCCATTCATTGAGCGCTTTCTTTGAGCCAGGTACCTCTTCTCTCTCCTGTAATCCTCACAACAACCCTGACAGGTAGATATACTATTATGCCCATTTTACAACTGAGCAAATTGAGGCTTGGGTTGAAGTTTGATAACCGTTTGTTCCCAAGGCAATAGAGCCTAGAATAATGAAGTCATTGGGTGGTGGGAAGAAAGGCAGAAGATGGGTTCAAACTGATTATCAGAAAGGTGTCTAGAGCAGCATTGTCCAATAGAACTTTCCATGATGGTGACAATGTTCTGCATCTGCACGGTCTGATACGACAGCCACCAGCCACGTGTAGTTAGCGAGTTGACTAATGTGACAAAGGAAGTGAATTTTAAATTTCATTTAATTTTAAGGAATTTAAATATAAATAGCCACAGGGGGATAGTGGCTACCATCTCAGTGCAGGTTTAATGTCCCAGAGCAAGTAAGTTCAGGGGCAGGACTTGACCCCAGGTCTGTCTGATCCCCAAAGCCATGGGCTTGCCCACTGTCGCTCCTCACGTACAGCCTCTCTGGCTCAGTGTCTGAGAAGGTCTGGGATCTCTTCCTGGTCGGGTCCTTGGGAGGTTTACCTCTCTGACCCAGGATGGCTCTCTGCTCACCCTATCCTTTGCTGATCAGAGTTTGCCAGTGGTTGGAGGAAAGGCAGAGAAAGGAGCCACAACAAGCTAGCCGCAAAATGTTCCCCAAGGTACAGAGGAGAGCTGACTGGTGACCTTCAGAGCAAAGAGACTGCATGCTGACCCTGTCCTTCCTGAGCCTTTCCTCTGCCCTTGCTGGCCCTTATGTCAGTATTAGACGTGGGGTGGCCCAACCAGAGACTCCAGGAGGTCTCCTGGAAAAGGTACTTTTTAAACTAAATTCCAGAACTAGAGCACATTCTATGTTTTTACTTGCTTGATTCTCCATGGAGCTGATGAAACATTGAGAACTCCTGTTCGCGGGAATTCTTGGCCTCATCAGCCCAATAAACTGTTCAAGTCCGCCCTCTGCCTTTTGTCCCACCGTCCAATGACCTCATTATTCCAGACCAGGGGTTGGCAACGTTTTTCTGTACCGAGCCAGGTAGTAAATATTTTCGCCTTTGTGAGCCATGGAAGGTCTCTGCTTCATAGTCTTCTTTGTGTCTTTTTTTCTAAAGACAACCCTTTAAAAATGTAAACACCATTCTTAACTCTCAGGCAGGATTTGGCCCACCAGCCAGGGTTTGCTCCCTGTTCTAGGCTCTCTTGCCTTCTGAACAAATGTTTATCAAACTTCAGGGGGCACGAGGATATTCTTGGCGAGTTTGCTGAAACCAGATTCCCATGCTGCTCCGAGATTTTGACTTCAGTGGGGTTGGGCCTGGGTGTAGGAATTGTGTGGTTTCACAAACATTCTAACGACCTTCTAATGCAAATGGACTATGGTCCACCTTTTGGGGAAACCTGTTAGAGGTGGAAGGTCACTGAGAGCTCATTCAGTGACCAGGCCCATCAATGGACAGGTCAGGGGTCTGAGGTCCAGGGAAGGGAAGCATCCGTCCTGTCCTGAGGGTTTCTGAGTTAAGGCCCCGGGGAGAGAGAGCAGGAGGAGGACGATGCCAAAGGCAGAGCAAGGGGACTGGGTCCTCGGTGGTTTGATTTAGCTGCGGGGAACAAGTGTCCTTGGAAGGTGGCCCTACTGCCGCACTTTCAACCAAACCCCCTTTTTCCTTCAGCCAGTAGGAGTCAGAGTCTGTGCTGCTGGCAGTTGGAAGCACCTCCCTGATACAGCCCCCTCTTCCTACTAGCCTTCTTTGACGCACCCCTTTAGAGAGAACTGTCTTTGAAGGAATACTCCCGAGGCATCATCCAAAGGTTTAATCCTCTAGATGGCAGGCCTGTGTGACGAGCTGGGCAGGTCCCACACGCCTCCCTGCCCCAGAAGGCGGCGTGGGCGGAGCTGAAAGTGGGCCAGGTCCAGAACTGGGACATTTGGCTTCTCTTCTGCTTCTGCCATCATACAGCTGTTTGAAATGGGCACATGACTCCACTTCTCGGGGCCTAGCTTTCTCATCTGGAAACGGAGGGCGGTTTAAAGAGCCACTTTTTAGGCCCCTTTTGTTCTAGATACACCATTGCATTCTAGAGTCAACACTGGCCTCCTTGACTTCCACAACTCTAGCCTCTCCTCTCCCTCTTCTTTCCTTCCTTCTCTCCCTCCTTCCTTCCTTCTTCTCTTTCTCTCTTCCCCCCCTCCCCCTTTTCTTTCTTTCCTGAGAAGAAACGCAAAAATCTGAGAGCACTCACTTTGGCCCAGTCTACGGTTTTCCAGCAGAAATTGTATGCCCGAGGGGCTCACATACGCTGGCGTTTGGATCAACAGCCCTTCAGGGTTTTTCTACGGAACTCGAACATTTCCTTCCAGGTTTGAAGAATGGAGCTAATTGACACAACATGGATTTTGATCAGGTGGAAAATGTTTCTTTTCATTTGGTAAAAAGGCCTCAGGCTGGTCAGCTGATCAGGAACAACAATAAAAATAAAATGCACTCGCTGCCTCTCAGTTTGAGGGCTGGTGGAGTGAACCCCCAGTGCCCAGGAGCCCGGAGAGCGGCTGCCTCGTCCTGGCGGCTTTCCTCTTCTCCCGAGGGAGGCCATTCCGTAGTTCCGCCTTGACACGTTGTGACAGGAGCCAGGGAGGCCGCGGTGGTTAGAGCTCACACTCAACGTGAAATCATTTGTGTTTGAGTTTTAATAACGCTTTGTTCTTTTTTCTTTTAAATCCTAAAGCATGACATGTTCAAAGCAGAAAATGGAGTAAAACAGAAAACACGCAAAGGAGAGGAGGAGAGACACGAATCTCCAGGAATCCCGCGGCCCAAGACGACCATGTGTGGGGTCTTCACTGCTGTGTTTCCACAGCCTCTTGTCTAGTCACCAAAGTGATATATGATCGATGCTCCAGCCAACATGGGGAGAGAAACCCACCCCTGCAGGCCCCACTGCTGGCCGCTTGTCCGTGCTGGCCTTGTCCCAGGCCCAGAGTTCCTGTCCCTGAACGGAAGTCGCGGGCCTGGCAGAGAGGCGCTGCAGATTCGGTGGAGAGCTCCGGAGCGACGCCTCCAGGCTGGCCCCCAGGAGGGTCTGCGCACGGGAACACCAGCTCCTCCGAGGAGCACACAGTCCCCCGCCCCCTCCCAGTGGCAGAATTTCAACCGAGGCTGGGACTCTGCTACCAGGGCCTTTTCACACTGGTTCCAACGCCAGCTCTACTCACAGGCCGCCAGCCATCCGGCCTCAAACAGTGTTGTTTCACTTGCAGAGTTAGCTTCTGATGCCATAATATAATTGGCTGTCTTTCTCCCCAAACCAGTTCCCTTTTTCTGTCTTTCTTGCTTCTGCCAGAAACACCATCACTCTTGCTAATGCCCAGGCTCCATTTCCTTTGGCCCCATCTTTTCTGCCTAGAAAAGATCCTGCCTGTTTTCTTACCAGGTATGTGATAAGGAGCAGTGGGAGAAACACTCCATTGGCTTTGGAGTCAATTTGTCTTGGAATTAAATTCTGCTCCTGCCACTTACCAGCATGTGAGGTGGGTGAATTAATTAATCTCCTTGAGCCTCTATTTCAGGCTCTGTAAAAGGTGATAGTAGCCATTACATATTGTTTATTATGTGCAGAACACTCTTCTTACTGCTTTGTTATACTGAATTATTTAATTTAAGAAATTGGCCCAGAGAGGTTAAACCACTTGCCCTGGGTCACACAGCTAAGTGGCCAAGTCAGGGTTCAGACTCTGATTGTCTGCTCCCAACCATTCCTCTACTTACCCCTCCAGTGGGAGGAAAATTTACTCCAAAGGGTGTCATGAGGATTGAATGTGAATTTATGTTTAGTGCCAGAGCAGAGCCTCATCAATCCACATGCTTCACATTTCTTTTTTAAAGAAATTTTTTAGATTCTTAGAAAATTATCCTTTCTAAATTTTATTATCCTTGTCCTTCCATTTTTTTTGCAAGGGGTAGGAATTGCAAAAACTGGAATTTTAAGAATGCAAATGGTCTATAAATTTTTAATGACGAGGTCGTGAATACAATTGTATAGCGTGCATTTACCAGCTTCCCAGGACTCTGCTAAGCCCGCCCATGAAAGGTCTTCGTGAGTGCTCATGGAAGCCTTGAGGCCCGCGCTGTTGGGCCTCGCCCAGGGATGCTGGGACCTGTGTGGTGTGGTTAGGGAACCCAGCCAAGGTCACACAGGTCCTGATGGAGCCAAGGTTCAAACTGACGCTGCTTCGTTTCTCACTTGGGAGCCTGAACTCTTTATCCCTTTTGCTAAAAGATGTCATTCTATGTGTTAATGCTGGTGAAGATTAAATGAGTTAATATAAAGAGCTTTGAACAGTGCTGGGCACGTGGTACTTGATAAACGTCGCTGTTATCTGGAAACTTTTTCCCTTCCCCCAGCCAATTTTGTGCCTCAGTGGCCCGGGCAGTGGCCTTGGTCACGAGATAAGGGTGTGGCAGAGCTGCTGCCAGGTGGAGGGTGGCAGGGATTCCCCAGGCTTCATAGGAGCAGAGGGGGTTGGTTTGCAATCCTGGAGTGGATTGGGGCTAGAGGTCTGGAAGCCGGGACTTTCTCCGTGGCCGGTGGCTGTGAGAGATGCATATTGCGTCGTTCTTTCTATTTTTTGTGACAGAGCAGAGCAGAGGCTTTTTTTTGGTTCAAACGGGAGTCAGGGGCAAGGCCGAGCAGAGAAGCAGAGCAGCTGTCAGGAGAATTCAGGCTGGAGCAGGCTCAGGGCCCAGGGAGAGGGGGGACACAGCGAAACAGGACTTCTGCTGGCCAGCCACGGCCCCGCGCCGCCCTCCCGGGCCCAATTGCTTAGGAGAAGGAAGGAAACCAGCCTTTTCCCACTGCCATTGTGTCCCTGACAGGTTCGTCAATCAGCTCGGCTCATCCTCAGCCTCTCACGCTGGCTGTCGCTCCTCTTTGACGGGAGAGGAAGAGGAAGGGGAAGAGGAAGAGGAGCTTCAAGGGGAGGGGCAGGGCCAGCCGAGCTGGGCCTCCAGAGCCCCTGCTCCTTTCACGCCAGAGAGCTGTCCCCGGCCGGCCTGTGTCCCAGAGAATCAACGCCAGGGAGGCAGGAATCCACCAGCGGCGGGAGCTCCTGGCACTCAGGGCCTGGAGAAAGGCGAGGGTCGAGCCCAGGACTCCTGCCTGGGCCTGTGTCCCTCGCCGACCCCTGCCTTTCACCTTCCTGTCCCCGGACCCTGGACAGACCCTTGGCCTGCAGGGGCGGCCTGTCCCCGTGCCAGCGCAGCGGGCTCGGCTCTCACAACAATAGCTGGAAGGGCCTCTTGGAGCAAGTACTTCCTGAAGTGCCCAGAACAGCCACTGTCCCCGCGGCTCAGGAACAATCACAGCTCATGCCAGCTTCCGTGCTCCCATCGGGGCCTCGGCAGAGCCCGGGCCTGCGGCTGTGGCTCTCACTCCAGGGGGACAGGCCCCAGCTGCTCTAAGCCTCAGGGGTCCAGGGCAGGCCTGGGGACATGTGGCTGTTTGTTCCCGTGGAAGCCAGAGGAAAACCCCTGGATTCTCACTTTCCTTTCCCCTTCCTGTAAACCAACTGCCTCGTCCTTGATCTTTGTACTTCTGTCGTCTTTCTTCAGGCTTTGTAAACAAAGAGGGAGAAGAAGAAAAAAAGAGCCAAAAGGAAAATATAAATTCTGGAATCAGACGATACACTCAATTATTCATTCAGCAACATCGAGTGAGGCCTGCTGTGTGCCAAGAACAATGGGGTACGAAAAAAAGAGTGAGTTGGTCTCCACTCACTTACGTATTTATCTACTCACGTCATAATAAGGCTAGAGCTCCCGCCGGGTTCCAGGCATTGTGGTTGTGGCGATGCCTGGGTGGCTTGGGCCCTGCCTGCTGGGGGACGGAGCCAGTGGCCCAGCAGCTGAAACGCAGCAGCTGATGTGGTGAGTGCCTGGATGGGAAGTACAGGAGGATGAGGGGCAAGCCAGGAGGGCAGCGGGCCCCGTCCGGAGGCCTGGAGGATGGCAGGAGGGAGCGCAGGGAAGATGAAGCTGGGCTGTGGGGTGGAAGAAGGTACAGGAAGAGAGAGAGGCTCTCGTGAGGGCTGCAGGGGAAGAGGGATGCAGGTTTGACAGAAGCGGACGAGGTCCAGGTGGCCAGAGTGCGAGAGGAATAATGGCCTCTGGTGTCACGATGCCAGCCTGCCTGGGTCCTCACGGGGTCACTTATTGCTGTGTCTTCGGCCAAGCTATCAACCTTTCTGGAACTCACTTCTCTGGTCTGTAAAGTGAAAAGGATGAGAGTAACAGTGCCTCCTCCACAGGTCGTGGTGAAGATGACAGCGAGCCAATGCATGTGGAGCGCTGCGACGCCCCTGCCGGCAGTAGGTGCTGTGGATTGTCGCTATGATTGGGGCGGGGGCGGACAGGAAGCCTGCAGAGAGGAGCAATCCGTCACCTGTAGGAGCTCCGACTGTGGACAGGCGCCAGCAAACTGAGCAGAGGCGGAAAGACCGGGCTCCTGCCTGCGGGGAACCAACAGTATCCAGTTGTTGCTAAGAACTTGGAATCCGAGAGACCTGGGTTCCAATCTCATCTCATCTGTGTGACCTTGGACAAGTTATTTGTCCTCGTTGAGCTCCACTGTTCTCATCTATAAAATGGGCGTAAAGACAGCACATTCATTTCAGGGACGCGGGAGGCCTGACTGAGATGATCCTTGTAAATAGCCGAGAAGACACAGCCCTGGAAAAGAGGTAGCTGCTAAGACCGTTGGTAAAAAGCGAAAGAGGGGGAGACTTTTATAACAAGCAGGAGGAGGATGTCCTCGGACCGTCTGGCTCACCTCTCGGTGGCTTCCCATTGCTCTAGAATGAAGATGTACTTAGCCCCCTGGCTCTCCTTTACTCCATCTGTCCTGTTGGTATGTACACGGCCTAGAAGCTTCTGATCACAGGAGGGACATCGTTTACTAGAGGAAGGCTTCCCCGCCGCCAGATGTGGTCAAGCGCATGTACCCCTGCTTCACAGCTCACAGCTCCCTTCGTTTTCGGTAGTGTCTGTCACCCCCTCTGAACTGTAAGCCCCTGTGGAGCCAGAGGTCGTTCTCTTTTACTTATTGTATTTCTGGCACTTAGTGTGGTCCCTGTAACAGGAAACCAGTAAACATTTACTAAATGGGTGAATAAACAAGCTGAAGATTGAACTCTTAGGAAAGGAGCAGGGGAGCCCATTCCCGAGGCCCGAGCCCCACTCCGACAGGCCACTTTCCCCAGGTCCCTCTGCCCTCTCTGGCCGAGCAGCGGGTGCCGAGACCTGCTCCCCTGCCGGACAGCGGTGTGACCGACATCACGCGGCAGTGAACTGCAGGGCTGATTAAGGGCTGATGTAGAGGCTGAAACCTCTGGCAGCGTTCATTTCCCTCAGATTTTACCATGACTCAAAGCATGGGACTTTTTCTAAGAGAGCTTTCAGAGAGTCCCCACACCCAGCGGTGGACACCTTAGAAGGAGGGCGCAGGGAGGGGAGGGTCCCTGGGTGAGGGATTAGGGCCCCATCAGGTTTGCAGATGCACATGGAGACGAGACGTCAGCCTGGGCTTGTTTCTCTGACAGAACCGAGATGCTTTTCACCAGAAAGTTTCCAAGAGCTTTTAAGGGGAGAGGTTAATGTTGTAGGTTTATAAATAAATGGACGTTTGTGGGGACTTCACTGAGGTTCGTGTAGCAAGGCGAATGCGGGGGGGGGGGGGGCCCTTACGCCTTGCGTCAACACCGTAATTGCTTCGTCTGCCTCTTGGTTCAGGGAGTAGATGGAGGGAGCCGCCTGGGTGAGGACTCAATTGGGAGGCCTTTCTTTCTAACCCGAGCCTGGCCTCCGGGGAGCTGTGTGACCCAGGGTGTGATCATAAGTGCGCTCTGCCTCAGTTCCTTCGCTTGTCCCGTGAGGCTGAGAAGAGCCTCGTCAGAGTGTGGTCACACTGGCTCGTGGAACGGTCTCTAGGCTTCTTTGAGCACTTCCTGGGTCAGCACTTGTATGAGCTCTGTGGCTCCTCAAGCGACCTAGGAGCTGGATTTCCATCAGTGCCCCATTTCAGAGAGGAGGACCCCGAGACACAGGAAAGCTAAGTACCTTGCCCAAGGTCACACAGCTGGTAAGTGGCAGAGCTAGGATTTGAACCTAGGCTGCCTGGCTCTGGAATCAGTTTTAATGACTGTGCTATGCCATACTGTCTTTCTAGGAGGGGGGACATGGGTTGGGAAGGGCTTTAAGAAGAGTAAAGCCCACTTGTTTGCTAGCTGGCCAGGATTCCAGCAGGGTCCTTGGTTGGGGGGAGAAGGGTGAGGTGGCTGCCTGGGAGAGACATTATGTCTCTGTGGTGACTGCCCCTCCAGGGGGTGAGGCTGACCTTCTCATGGCTAGTGTTCGGGAGTGAGAGTGCCGAGACCCTGGGATGGGAGACAGGTGTGGACTCGAACCCAGGCTTGGCCCCTTGAGGTGTGGCGGTCGGGGTAGATGACTCATCTGAGTTTCCCAGCTCCCCAGAACACTGGCGCTGTCGAGCTCGTAGGGTGTCGTATGGATTACGGGAGAAAAGGGCTGGCACAGAGCCGGGGCTCCACGAGTATCCTGCCTCGTCTTTTTATCATGGTCCCAAGAAGATGGATTGATTTAGTGTCCATCACACCTGAAACTATTTGGGATATGTTTATTCTCTGGGTTGTTCAGAAAAATTGCATTATACAGTGAGAGTGTTTTTCAGGTCAGGGTAATGGAGAGTTTTCAGGTTCTCTTAGACACTCACATTTGTCTGGCAAAGAGCAACTTCCTTGTCCTTTTGTCTGAGGCAGAGAACCATCTCCTGCGAGGTGTTAGCCATTCCAGTGGTGAGCTGGAATGGATGTGACATGTGGGACTGCCGGATCCCACACCCTTTTTCTGGGTACTGTTTCAGTGCCAGGTGTCTGAACCCAGGGCTTTGGTTGTTCATCCAGGAAGCCAGTTGGCTGGGTGGAGGGCTGTGGCCTTGGTTGGGGGTCTTGAGGACCTGACGAGTGCTTTCTCTCAAGGAAGCAGGAAACCAGCAGAGCTGGCAGATAAACCCGAGCCAGAGTCCGTGGTGGCGACTTGGAGTCCTCTGCTGGAGAGTCGAGATGCAGAGTCCGTGGGTCGGAGGAGGGGGATTGTGCCTGAAAACCGAAAAGCTGGACTGGAGCTGGAGAAGGTGAAGGTCCCAGTGAGGAAGGTTCTAGATAAGCGCAGGTGGATACGTATGACCCGAATTTATGGAAGAGAGGGTCCATGGTGTTTGAGAGTGCTGAGTGTTAGTTATAAGTAGGGGGTGGAGATGGGGCTCAGGTGATGTACTCAGCATTGGAAGACAGCCAGAAAAATCCTGGCATTCCCTGGCCACGCCAGCCTGGGGGCAAACATTCGGGCGGGGGTATCACATGGTAACAGGAGGGAAAACTGAGCTGGTTCCCAGCGCCCACCTAAGTGATGATGAGAATATTTGCAGGCATTGAGCACTGACGGTGGGTCGGGGCTGTGACGACGCGTTCTCCGATAATCTCCGCAGCAAGCTTGTAATATGAGAAATCTATTTCCTCAATCTTATAGATGAAGAACCTGGGGTCAGGAATATGGACTGATGAATGGTCAGTCAAATGCTTAGAAAACAGGAGGGCTGGGCCGGCGACTCCTGACTCTTTGGCTTCCTCTCTTGCACGTTTTCTGGGCTCCTGAGCTTCCTCCATCCACATCCCTTCTTTTCCCTGGTAGGGTTCTAGAGGCTCTTTGGTCTAATTGGCAACCAGAACATTTTGCTGGCTGTTGCCATTTTTCCCACCCGCGGGTTCTTAACCAAGAGATGGTATGCTTTCTCTCCCCTGCCGACTTGTGCCACCTGATCCTGAGGAGGGCTTCCTCCTCCAGAGTGAGGATTTCAGGAAGGGGCAAGTTGCATGAGGTTGGGCCAGAGGACCCTTGTGCAGCACGGTGCAGGGTCCTTCATAAACATGGCCTGTCTGCTGACAATGGCATTTCAGGACAGAGCCTCGAGGCTGGAACTTTCTCCTCCCATTGATTGATGTCCCTACCCATTGAGAAGTCTTTCTCATGGACAGCTATCTACCCGTGTCCCACAGCATTTATCCCAGGATTCTGGAGGAAGCCTGGCTGTCCCAGTCTCCCTGCAACGTTTTCCTCAAGGTCTTGTGGGTTGTTATGCAAACAGAACACATCAGAAAGTGCTCTAATGGCCACTGAGAGGTGGGAGGGAAGATTAGACTCCCTTTTATTGGACAGAAAGTGTAAGACTTGGTCCATGTCCTCAAAGTGTTGATATTGTCATGGACACAGATGGATAGAACATCAGAAACATCCCTCTAGTCAGTCCTGTCTCCCATCCTCTTTTTTTTTCTGCTGAGGAAGATTCGCGCTGAGCTAACATCTACTACCAATCTTCCTCTATTTTTCTTGGTATGTGAGCTACCACCACAGCATGGCCACTGACAGACCAGTGGTGGAGGTCCATGCTGGGAACTGAACCTGGATTGCTGAAGTGGAGCATGCCGAACTTAACCACTAGGCTACTGGGGCTGGCCCCCCCATCCTCTTTTTCAAGTTTAGGGTCCTGAAGGCCAGTTTTGGTATTTGTCTGGTCGTAGAAGGTGGTCCCTCCCCTCTGCCTCATTCACTCAATATATATTACTTGAGGTGCTTACAATGTGTCAGGGAATATTGTAGATGCTCGTGATATGAAATGAACCCTGCTTTCACAGACCTTGCAATCCAGTGGGGGTTACTGATGTGAGAATACGCAACTGCCAGTATGATAAGAACTCTCATCCAGGAAGTAGCAGGTGTTAAAGGCCCTCCTAAACGGAGCACCACTTAATGAGATCCGGGAAGACTTCCTGGAAGAAGTTACACTAAACTATGTCCACACTTGTGAGGAGTCGGTAAGGAGTGAAACTTTCCATGAATTGTGTCAGGAAAGCTTGAACATTTCCTTACTCCAAAAGCAATAGTCACATTCACTATATAAGTTGGGACTGAGCACAAGTTCCAAAAAAGGATGAAAAATTCTAATTAAGACTCACGTCTAAAGTTAAAAAAGGTGAGGGCTCCTCTCTCCCATCTCGCTCACCCTCAGCGCTGGGGAGACAGATCCACCTGAGAATGGTTAAATTCTTCAAGTCCTGATTGACACTGACAAACCAGACGGTGTTTAAAAGGGGGTCACCCAAAGGTGGAGAGACTGGAAGGCTTGTTGCACAAGGAATGGGTTGTATTTTGAAGGGGACACAGCAAGGCAGAAGCAGAGCCACGGGAAGCCTGTCGTCTTGCCGGGGACAGGGTGGACCTCCATCCTCCTCGCCCTCGTTACACACGCACGCTCCAGCTGGAATGCCCTCAGTGGTGACTCAGAGTCATTGAGAACACGACCACTTGAGCAGTGCGAAGATTAGACAGCCACCAGCCGAGAGTCTGTTGTGTTGAAGTGGCGCTGGGTGGGATGCCGTCTCTCCGGAGAGCGGGGCAGGGCATGACTTGCCAGACGAGGGTTCACAGAATGTTTAGACTGTGACTCATGAAGGTCCCAGATGAATAAATAGCTCTCTTTCTGCTGTGACCGTTGATGGGGCTGGTGACAGCTTACCTTTGCAGTTGCCAAGGAGAATCTGACTTTGAGTTTTGACAAGTTCAACTTTCCTAACCAGCCAGGCCCTCCAGAGACCACCATGAACAAAGACCTGGCCAAATGTAGAGGACAATGAAGCAATGGGATATTTAGAGGCATGAAATCAGAAGAGCATACATCTCCTCCCAGCCCAGGAAGAGCCATCGCTGGGAAGGGAGGATTGGAGGAAGAAAATTTTCTGCTTCGAGGATTGGGGGAACATTATCTTGGGTCTTTGTGTGGCTAGTTGGCCATAGACTACCACTTTCTTAACTGTCTTCGAGCTTCACAATTCTAGTGAGAAGGAAAGTAGTTCTCTTTCTGGAAATCACTATGTAATTTAGGATATATTTGGCTATAAGTAACAAAAAAACCTGACTGATAGCAGCCTAGGCAGTAAAGATGTCTGATTATCTCACAGAAGAAGAAGTCTAGAGGTAAGTAGTCTAAGGTGAAAACAGCAGCTCAATAATGTTATCAAGATCCTAGGCACTTTTCCATCCTTCCACTTTTCCATCCTCCATATG